TCCCATTCTCGGCTTCTCTGTCCGTTTGTCTGTCCCTCTCTTCCATCTTTGTCTGTCTGCATTCTCCCTTTCACTATATTTCTCTCTCTCTCTCTCTCCATCTCTGGCTATTTCTGCCTGACTTGCTATTTCATTCTGTCCCTCTCCTGTGTCTGTCAGTCGCTGTGCTGTTCTCTATATCTGACCTTCTCTCTGTGTTTGTCTTCCTCTCCAGCAGCTTGCAGCTCCTGTAACCTGAGCTGGCCCTGGCAGTGTGTCTGAGTGTGCGTGCGTGCGTGTGCGTGTGCGTGTGTGTGTGCGTGAGCGTGCGTGTTTGTGTGTGTATGTGGCACAGTCCTGCTTCTTCTGCATCTCTCTCTCTGCAATCTGCGCTGAGCGAAGCCAGCACAGCACACGGGAGGAACAAGGGATGCAGGAATGGGAGATGGGGCTTGTGGAGGAGGAAGAGAGAAAGTCCTCAGACATCACGGTGTTTGCAGAGAGCTGTACACTGCACGGGATCAATCACATCTTCCTCCCGGGAGGAGTCACCATCCGCAGACTGCTCTGGGCTCTCTGTTTCCTCATGTCCCTGGCTCTGTTCTTGTACCAGGTGGTGGACCGAGTGGATTACTATATCCAGTACCATCATGTCACTACCCTCGATGAGATGGACAGTTCCAGCATGGTATTCCCTGCCGTTACCCTGTGCAATCAAAACCGTCTGCGGAAATCCCAGGTCACCGAGAATGATGTGTACTGGCTCAGTGGGTTGCTGGGGGTGAAGGAGGCTGACCTACCTGCTTTCCTGGCGACCATTGGCCGGGACTCAGACATAACCAGCTTCACCCCCAGCAATAGCTATGACATGATGGCGCTGTTTGACCGGGCAGGCCACGACCTCACAGAGATGCTGCTGGACTGTCGCTACCGCAGCGAGGAGTGCCAGGCCAACAATTTCGTCCAGGTGAGTTACCACTCTCACAGCCCAGCAAGTCCTCCCCAAGCTCCAGTTAACCTCCAGGGCACCTCCTCAGAACAGGGCACTGAGGAGGGTCACTGGAACCAAGCCGGGTCTGAAAGGGTTACAGGGTGAAGATTGTAGCTTCGGGATAAGGGCGAGCAGATTCAAAACAGAGATGAGGAGAAATTACTTCTCTCAAAAGGTCATGAATCTGCGGAATTCACTCCCCCCAAAAGTGCGGTGGATGCTGGGTTACGGAATACATTTAAGGAGGAGGAGATGAAGGATTTTTAATCTGTAATGGGTTGAAGCGTTAAGGAGGACAGGCAGGAGAGTGGAGTTAAGGCTGAGATGAGTTCAACCATAATCGTACTGAATGGTGGAGAAGGTTGGAGGGGCTGAATGGCCTCCTCCTGTTCCAGTTCTTATATTCTTCGGCGATGAGGGTTTGCAGTAAAAACCAGGCTGGGATCTCTGTGAAGACTGAGGGACAAACTGATGGAGGAACTGAAGATAATTGAAGGGGGTGATAGACGAGATAGAGGGACAGCATAACCCAGAATCCAAAAAAACTCATGCATTTACATAGCACCTTTAACATGATAAATCATGACAAGCTGTATCATGGGAGCATTCCAAAGGATAAGACCACTGAAGGCACACCTCCAGGAGATTCACACGTTTTCTGGAGAATTTTAATGTGAGGCCACAGAGAAGCGCAGATTCTGTGTCCTAAGCTGCTGAAGGTACATGGTGCTGGAATCAAATCGGAGGAGCTCAGAGATCTTCACAGCTTGTGTGGCCACAGCAGCTTATAGAGAGACAGAGAAAGCGAGTGAGAGCTGAGGCCTTGGGGGGATTTGAAAACAGGTTTGTGAGTCTTAAAATTGAGGAGGTACTGGACCGGGAGCCAGTGTTAGGTCAGTGACGAAATGATTGTGAGCAGGGAAGTGCACAGAGATGGACAGGGTTAATGAAAGTTGTAGGATAGAAACCAAAGCTTTAGCTGCAGTTTGTGGCGCGTCAGTGCTGAGGGAGTGCCGCACTGTCAGAGGGTCAGTGCTGAGGGAGCGCCGCACTGTCAGAGGGTCAGTACTGAGGGAGCGCCGTACTGTCGGAGGGTCAGTGCTGAGGGAGTGCCGCACTGTCAGAGGGTCAGTGCTGAGGGAGCGCCATACTGTCGGAGGGTCAGTGCTGAGGGAGCGCTGCACTGTCAGAGGGTCAGTGCTGAGGGAGCGCCG